CGTGACAACCCTAAATCACATTCACTTTATTCACTCGTGTAAAGTCGAGCACCACTCAGGAGAATTCAGAACTGCGACAGACGCTTCCCTACGACTTTACATTTAAAACAAGAACCTTTATTATAAACAACCTATTAAAAAAGTTTGATTTTTAAGCCCTACTTTATCGTCATCAATGCTGAAAAAGACTGAGGTTGATATGATCTAAGGAGAGAAGAACTTTGTTGGTATTTATCCCTCTTCCTTATTTTACTCTTCCTGTGAAATGATGTTATGCTGTGCTAAACATTTGGTATTATGCTTTCTTGTTGGTGAGCATTAAATTATGCTTATCCATTTCCAATCGCCTAATCACCACTGACACATTGCAGACAAAAAAAAGTGACAGTGATCAGGAATAATCTAGTAACCACCAAAATAAATCAGCCATAAAGGAGAGGCACTGTTCAATTATGAAGCATGGCGGTAGCAGCATTGTGCTGAGGAGTTGTCTGGCTGCCACTGTTTCTGATGGATTGCACTGAGAGGATCCACTAGTTATCTTTGAATATTCTTAAATTTTACATTAAATAAATATTTGGTGCGCAGAAAAACATTTGATTTTGCAGGATTATAATCTCAAACACATTAGCGCTGGCTTAGAGAAGAATGAGGAAAAGGGTTATTTTGCATCAGTTATTAAATTATCTGACCAATGATTTATAGATTCACACTAATTTATTTATAGATTATAGATTTATAGATTCAGGAGGTCGGCCAAATTATACAAGCTTTAGAAATCCTGCCTGTTTAACAACAGAATTCAAACTTTCAGCCAACTTTCTTCCAGAAGCTCATCGATATCTTCATAAAGCTTCTGGTCCAAATGCTACACTATAAATCTCATTCAGGATATACGTATATTTGGACAAGTGTTGATTAAAGACAATGTCTAATAATTGTTCACTTTTATGCTTCAAAGATCCTTAGTTTATCATAGGGATGCACGATATAATCGGCCCCCTATCGGTATCT